TTATCATCATCCGAGTCGTCAAAATCATCATGGTCATCATCATGAACATCATCATCCGAATCATCCTCATCATCATTATCATCATTATCATCATAATCATCATCATCATCATGATCATCATCATGATCATCATCATCATCATCATCATCATCATCATCATTTGCATCAACCGAATCGTCAACATCATCATGGTCATCATCATCATCATCATCCGAATCATCATCATCATCATTATCATCATTATCATCATAGTCATCATCATCTTCATCATTCGAATCATCATCATTATCATCATCATTACCACCATCATCATCCGAATAATCATCATCATTATCTTCATCATCATCATCATCATCAGCATCATCATCAACATCATCTTCATCATCATCCTCATCATCAACATCTTCATCATCAAGATCATCAGCATCATCCGAATCATCATCATTATCATCATCAAAATCATCATCATCATTATAATCATCATCATCATCATCATCATCATTTTCATCATCATCATCATCACAATAATCCAGTTCATCACCAGCATCATCATCATCATCAACATCATCCGAAACATCATCAGCATCATCATCTTCATCATCATCATCATCCGAATCGACATCATCATCATCATCATCATCATCATCATCATCACCATCATCCGAATCATCATCATTATCATCATGATCATCATTATCATGGTCATTATAATCATCATCATCAGCATCATCATTTTCGTCATAATCATCATCATCACCATCATCATCTAAATTCATCATCATCAATATCATCATCATCATCATCATCATCATCATCATCACAATCATCATCCGAAACATCATGAACATCATCATCATCATCAACATCCAAATCATCATCATCCTCCAAATCATCATCCGAATTATCATCATCATCATTTCAATCATCATCATCATCATCATCATCGTCATCAACAACATCATCCAAAGCATCATCATCTGCATCATCATCGTCATTCGAATCATCATCATAATCATCATCCGAATCATCATCATCATCATCGTCAATCGAATCTTCATCCGCATCATCATTATCATCATCGTCTACCGAATCATCATCAACATAAACATCATCATCATCATCATCATCAATAACATCATCATCAAACTCATCATCATCATCATCATCATCATCATCATCATCATCACCATCATCATCCGAATCATCATCATCATCATCATCTTGATTATCAACATCCGAATCATCATCAGCAGCAGCAGCAGCCGCAGCAGCAGCAGCATCTTCATCAATATGATCATCCGAAACACCATCATCATCATCATCATCATCAGAATACGATTCATCATCATCAGCCTCCGAAACATCATCGTCATCATCATCATCGTCATCATCATCATCATCATAATACGATTCATCATCATCAGCATCAGAAACATCATCATCACCATCAGCATCATCATCATCATCTTCATCATCGTCGTCCGGATCAACATCATTTTCAACATTATAATCAGCATCATCCGAATCATGATTATCAAAACCAGTATCCGAATCATCATCATCCAAGTCATCATCATCATCATCAACATCATCATCAACATCGTCATCATCGTCATCATCATCACCATCATCGGAGTCATCATCATCATCATCAGCCGCATCATCTTCATCATCGGAAACATCATCATCATCATCATCATCATCATAGTCATCATCCGAATAATCATCATCCGAATCATCATCATCATCATCTTCCAAATCATCATCATCAACATCATCATTCGAGTCTTCATCCTCATCATCATCATCATCATCATCATCAACATCATCAACGTCATCATCATCATCTTCATCATCATCATCACAATCATCATCATCTTGATCATAATCCAACTATCCGAATCTCCATCATCGTCAACATCATCATCATCATCATCATCATCATCCTCTGAATTATCATCATAATCATCATCATCATCATCATCATGATCCGAAACATCATCCTCCCCCTCCTCATCATCATCATCGTCTACCGAATTATTGTCAACATCAGCATCATCATCATCATCATCATCATCATCATCATCATCATCATAATCATCCGAACCATCATCATCAGCATCATCTTCAAAATCATTATCGTCAACTTCATCATCGTCATCAGCATCACCATCATCATCATCTTCAACATATTCCAACCATCCGCCTCTCCATCATCGCCAACATCATCATCGTCATAATCATCATCCTCATCAGAATACGATTCATCATCATCAGCCTCATAAACATCACCATCAACATCAGCATCATCATCATCATCATCTTCATCGTCATCCGGATTAGCATCATCGTCAACATCGTCATCATCATTAGCCGAATCATGATCATCAACACCATCATCCGAATCATCATCTTCCGAAACATCATCATCATCGTCATCCAAATCATCATTATCAACATCATCATTCCAATCATCATCTTCATCATCATCATCATCATCCTCATCATCATCAACATCATCATCTGCATCATCATCATCATTATCATCATCAACGGAATCATCATCATCATCATCATCATCATCATCATCATCATCTTCATCATCATCATCATTATGATCATCATCGTAATCATCATCATCATCATCATCATCATCGTCAACCGAACCATCATCAACAGGATCATCATCAACATCATCATCATCATCTTCATCATCATCATCACAATCATCATCATCTTGATCATAATCCAACTATCCGAATCTCCATCATCGTCAACATCATCATCATAATCATCATCATCCGAATCATCCGAATCATCATCATCATCATCCGCATCATCGTCATCATCCGGAACTTCATCATCATCATCATCATCATCATCATCATCATCATATTCATCATCCGAATAATCATCATCCGAATCATCACGACCATAATCATCCCAATCATCATCATCAACATCATCATTCGAATCATCATCTTCATCATCATCATCATCATCATCAACATCAACATCATCATCTTCATCATCATCATCATTATCATCATCCTCGGAATCATCATCATCATCATCATCATCATCATCGTCATTTGAACCATCATCATCAGGATCATCATCAACATCATCATCATCATCTTCATCATCATCATCACAATCATCATCATCTTCATCATAATCCAACCATCGGAATCTCCATCATCTTCCACATCATCATCATCATCATCATCATCATCATCATCATCCTCCGAATGATCATCATAATCATCATCATCATCATCATCATCCGAAACATCATCCTCCCCCTCCGTATCATCTTCATCGTCTACCGAATCATTGTCAACGTCAACATCATCATCATCATCATCATCATCATCATCATAATCGTCATCATCAAACTCATCATCATCATCATCATCATCATCATCATCATCATCATCATCATCATCATCATCATCATCATCATGAGCCTCAGAAACTTCATCATCACCATCAGCATCATCATTATCAACATCATCATCGTCATCCGGATCAGCATCATCGTCAACATGATCATCATCATTATTCGAATCATGATCATCAACACCGTCATCCGAATCATCATCATCCGAAACATCATCATCATCATCATCATCCGAATCATCATCATCATCATTATCATCATCATGAACATCATCATCATCATCATCATCGTCATCATCATCATCAACATCCGGATCACCATCATCATCAACATCTTCATCATCATCATCATCATCCGAATCGTAATCATCATCGTCATCCGAAAGTTCATCCTCATCACTACCATCATCCGAGATATCATCATCATCATCATCATCGTCATCATCATCATGTACATCCGAATAAACATCATTATCATCAGCATCAGCACTATCAGCACCAGCTGCATCAGCATCATCATCATCATCATCGGAACCATCATCATCATGCGAAACATCGTCATCCTCAGCATCATCATCATCGTCATCTTCCTGCGAAACATCAACATCATCATCATCATCATCATCATCATCATCATCATCATCATCCGAATCATCATCAGCACCAGCAGCAGCAACAGCAGCGTCATCATCATCATCATCCGAATCATCATCAACGTCATCGTCATCATCATCCGAATCATCATCATCATCATCACCATTAGCATCATCATAATCATCATCATCGTCATACGGATCAGCATCATCTTCAAGGTCATCACGATCATCATCTGAAGCATGATCATCAACACCATCATCCGAATCATCATCATCCGTATCATCATCATGATCATCATCATCATCATCATCATCATCATCATCA